AGCGACAGTTACACGCGATGGCGTCATGACATGACGTCATAGCTACGTCACGATAACATCACAGACGTAATGTCATACCGTTCAACGATGAAGACAATGCCAGAAAAAATTTGGCGACGTGCGACAACGTCGTATGGTGATGTCATGACAATGATTTCTCGCGTATTTCTCGCGCTGACGCCAACCGCCACTCTTCGCATTTCATGATTGATTTGTGGGGTTTAACGTCCCAAAACCACCATATGATTATGAGAGACACCATAGTGGAGGGCTCCGTAAATTTCGACCACCTGGGGGTGTTTTAACGTGCACCCAAACCCGAGCACACGGGCCTACATCATTTCCGCCTCCATTGCAAATGCAGTCGCCGCAGCCGGGATTCGATCCCGCGACCTTGGGGTCAGCATCTGAGTACCTTAGCCACTAGACCACCGTGGCGGGGCACTCTTCGTATTTGAAGAGGCGTCTGAAGCTTTCTCCAGGGTACTAAGGAAGCCGTTCAAAGCCTAATAACACTACAAAAGCTGCCAAACAACAGAGAGACGGTATAACTGTCAGTTCAAGCGCACGAATAAACAGAAAGGAAGAGAGTACAAGCGTTCTCGGAAAGTGCTTGTCCTCTCTTCCTTTCTGTTTATTCGTGCGCTTGAACTGACAGTTATACCATGCATATCCAACTAGCCCAACTTTCGATTCTGTAACAGAGAGACGCATGAGCACGCAGTGTGGAAATAACCTCGGCGCTATAGTTAGCGCGGTCTTCCTCCGTCCCCCTGCATATTCCGAGCGACCAACACCCATGGAGACAGGAACAGGCCGTCGCGCGGGAACACTTTGCCGTCGCAGTGGGGCCGAAGGTCAAGTTCATTTAACCATTAAACCAGTGCAGGATGCGCGACCTGCGCGTGTCCGGGCATTCAATCTGCAGTGTGAGGCCCCGTCGCATCGCGCTCATAATAAACTATACCATATCGAATTGCAGAATGCATTAGTGCGATTCCACAAGCTCGTGGCCTCGTCAGCTTTTGACAGAGATACAAATAAAACAACTGCGTCACTTTTTAGCATATCGTCTTTCACATCACGATAACTTTCACGTCGCCGAACGAAAATTTTCTACCCTCGTCTGAACTATATGGTCTTCTATGTGTTTTCGGACTGCATTACTCACTTATTATCGCCATTAGGAATTCTATTGCTTCGGGGATCTTTTTTCCAGCCTTAAAAAGAGGTACACTAGTCAGTGGGCGCCAGGTATAGACTGTTTTTTGAAAGACATCTCAAGTCAGCCGTAAACTGTTAAGCCAATGTTTTCTTGTTTTTGTACATCGCGACGTGAACCCAACCATTTTCGTGTGTATGCGTCTGCCGTATCACTGCTCGTTAAGTTGTTAAGATACAAAACACAAAGGTTAACAGCCCAATGACATGAAGCCACAGACTTTCGGTGCAGCTGTCTTCGCTATGCTTGCCGCCTGAACCAGACCGCTGTTGAGGAGCGGGTGGATGTCACGATAAAAGTGCTTAGCTTCTTCTCGTTTATCAATCAATCAATCAATCAATCAATCAATCAATCAATCAATCAATAAATAAATAAATAAATAAATAAATAAATAAATAAATAAATCTAACATTTTCTTGTTTATCAATCAATAAATCAATCGATTAATCAATCAATCAACTAACCAATCAATCAATCGAGTGCTTCGTTTTCCAGGATAACTGCCAGATAGCGCTCATGTCTCACTTGTGACGTGACTCGATGCGCTCGTTGGCCTCCGCTGCACTCTCGACACACTCTAACGCAGCGCCTCCAGAATGCCATTCACCGATTTTCTTGCGCAGAACATCAAATAAACGTTTTGTTCACTCTCTCCAGGCGCAAGACTATCGTCTTTCGAAGACATTTTATGGTGGTTTTGGGACGTTAAACCCCAAATATCAATCAATTTCGACGACATTTGCAGTGTAACATGCATTTACGGGGCCATTTTTTTTCTTTGTGAGACACAATAATAATGAGAAACAATAGACAATCATGCCAAGGAAAGTATATAGGGGATGTTATACGAGGTAATTGTAATGTAAATGTGAAGAAAGAAAAGTAGGCGAAGAGATAACGTGCCGTGGGCAGGGGCCGAACCCACGACCTTCGATTAACGCGTCCGATGCTCTACCAACTGAGCTACCACGGCGGCCATCACCCCGTCCACTTGGTGAGGTATATATGGACATTTAAACGTGGCAGTGTTTAAAGTCGGCGCCGCTGTGGCGCTGACTGACGCGACTACACATGCGACTAAGCATGACAGCGACCCTACATTACACGCACACACAGGGTTCGCGGGCGTTCCCTCCACAGTGCGTATACGACGCAAGAGGCCGCCACTGACAGAAGGGGGCTATTGCATTTACCATCGGCTCAGCTAGAGGGCGTTAAGACTCATCCCCCGCCCCTGCCCCGAACTTGAGCTCTGTGTGCGTATAAATATACCTGTAGACATACAAACACGCGCATGCTTCCTGGACCGAGGAAGATTCTCTGGTAATCAATACTCAAAAGACTAAAGCAGTACTGTTCCGACCGAAAATACCACAGCTGTTCTGCCTCACGTCGGCCTCGGTGAATGCAAAATAGAAATAGTTGAATGTGTGAAGGTGTTAGGAGTGTACTTTTCGAGTAATCTCACTAGGGATTACCATGTTAATGAAGTACACAAAAAACTTTGCAAAACAATTGGCCTCATCAATAGAAATAGATACCTATACTGCCTGAGCGCATAAAGCTCTTGTTATACCATTCTTTAATATCCCCTAAGCTTGGTTACGCGCACCTAATTTGGGGAACAACAACAAAAAAAGAATATTAACGAGTTGTTACTTTTACAGAAAAGGGCAATGATAGTGGTAGCAAATGCTTCTTTTTATTCTCACACCCAGGAATTGTTTGATCGGTACCGAGTAATGACCGTAAATCATCTTTACAACTACCGTTTGACGCTGTCTTACTGCGTGGCAAATAAGAAGAATAACACATTTTATAATGATCTATCGATGCTACAGAAGAAATCTCACTGGCCAGATACACGTTTCCGAGAAACGTGGTCTGTTCCAACGCCGCGGAATAACTATGCTTCTCAATCGATAACTTATACACTGCCCCATCTATTGAATAAATTTACAGATAACGCTATTGATATATGTCGCCTGCCAAATAACCGTTTGCAAAGCGTATTTTCGTCGCCTGACTGTGTTATTTCTGAAATTTGATATATGTCGCCCACCAAACAACCGCTCACTAAGCGTATTTTCTGCCGCCTGACTATGTTATTTCTAATTGTGTGCGATCCGCATATTGTTATTATTTGTGTTGATGTACACTTTTGAAATGAATTTGACCATGAACTGTCTCACCTGAGAGAACGTTTTGATTGTAGATATCAGTGTTTGTTGGTGGTGTTGATTTTTTGGTATTTTCGTGGGTCATTCGCGATCATCTCTGCGTATAGTACTGCTATTTCTGTTTATTTTGTGCCATTGATGGCTCTGTGATTCTTTGGTGTGTTTTCCAAAGCTGTCAATTCAGGGGCGTCCGCCTCGTCAAGCTACTTCTCACAGTTGCTTTTTGCGGCCGCTCCATTCTTTTATGGAAAAGGAAAATAAAGATTTGATTTGATTTGATTTGAATATATAAATATGGAAGTCGAACCACGAACTGCTTTAAAAGCAACAACAACAAAAAATTGGCCCGAATCTACATGTTACACTGTAAATGTCGTCGAAAGACGATAGTCTTGCGTCTGGAGAGAGTGAACAAAACGTTTATTTGATGTTCTGCGCTAGAAAATCAGTGAATGGTATTCTGCAGGCGCTGCGTTAGAGTGCCTCGAGCGTGTGGCGGAGGCGAATGAGGGCATCGAGGCACGTTAGACACAAGTGCCATCTGGCAGTTATCTTCGAAAACGAAGGCGTGCAGCCCGCGCAGAAAGATGCGCGCCAGTCTCGGAGGTGATAAGGTGTAGAACGAAGCAACGGGCAGGTGCCACCACCGTGCCGTCGTAGCAAAGCATTGGAAACACCTTCTTGAGCATCGCGTTGCACTGTCAGTGCAGCGCAATTAAACGCTACATTCCTTAGAGTTACTTGTGTGTGCCTCTTCTAGTATAAAGGCAGATATAGAAAACTTCGAAGCGTTGTTGTGGCCCCTTAGACATGCGCAATAATTGCTTTTAAAGACAATAGTCTTTCTTGGGGACCTTCGACAGAAAAATTTTGGTCCGTCCGTCCGTCCGTCCGTCCGTCCGCCCGTCTGTCTGTCTGTCTGTCTGTCTGTCTGTCTGTCTGTCTGTCTGTCTGTCTGTCTGTCTGTCTGTCTGTCTGTCTGTCTGTCTGTCTGTCTGTCTGTCTGTCTGTTTTTCCGCCCTAACGATACTTCAAACAACTATGAACACTAAACCTTGAGCAATATTGGTGGGCGCTGCGGATGGGGTCGGCCGTTTGGTGCCGTTTGAGGTATCGTTAGGGCGGATAAACAGACAACTGTACAGACAGACAGGCAGACAGACAGACAGACAGACAGACAGACAGACAGACAGACAGACAGACAGACAGACAGACAGACAGACAGACAGACAGACAGACAGACAGACAGACAGACAGACAGACAGACAGGCATGCAGGCGGGCGGGCAGGCATCGGGCAGGCAGGCAGGCCAAACTTTTTCTGTTGAAGGTCCTCACGAAATACTATCGTCTTTAAAAAAAACTTGGAGAATACTTGAGCTCCGTGTAGAGCCAGTGCACTGCAGTTGCCGATGAAAAACTCTGCAACAAACGGGCCAATGAATGAAGTTACGGCAGCCGCTGCACGCATACCTGTCGAAATATGTCTACTGTTGCGGGGGGGAGGGGGGGGAGGCTCGTCTCACTGATAACACTAAGCGATATCTTGACAGACGCTGAGACTAAGAGGTACGATGCTTGCAGACAGACAACCCCCCCAATCCGCGACCAAAGGTCGCTCGTTGATGAGGCCTGCCTAAATGACCGCCGCGATGTTAACTGCCCTCTTTCGCTGACACACTCCCGAAAGCTACGCGACATGAAGAGGTAGGCCGTCTTGTGTTTCTCTCGAGGTTCTTTAACGCTTGCCTAATAAGCGTATAACGCTTTTGCACCGCCGTACCACGCGCTATGACGACGAAGTCGAGTGTACGAAGTTTTGCTGTGTGTTTATGTAATTGGACGGGTTGTGGAACACATCTGGTCAAATAGCGGGGCTTTTAAACAGTGCCAACTCTGGACGTAAAACATTCTCAGGAAAGGTCGTACAGATGCAGAGACTGCAGCTGCAGAGTCCGAGATGGACAGGACAGAGCGCTATTTTTTTCTGTTGTCCCGGCGCAACTCAGCACCACGTCCCGCGCATTTTTTTTCTTTCTACGCCCCGTTGGTGCTACTACAGCGTCAACTTCGGACAAGAGGGACGACGAAGAACACCATACACACCAGCGATAACTTTCAACGGCATTTTCGTTCTTCAAACACACATTTATATAACGATAACCAGGCGTCCGCGGGCATTTCTCCTCCCCAAATAACGACGCCCTAAAGCGATAAGAGTGATGATTTTGATTTGTGGGGTTTAACGTCCCAAAACCACCATATGATTATGAGAGACGCCGTAGTGGAGGGCTCCGGAAATTTAGACCACCTGGTGTTCTTTAACGTGCGCCCAAATCTGAGCACACGGGCCTACAACATTTCCGCCTCCATCGGAAAGCGATAAGAGTGACCTTACAGGATAGGAGACATCAGTTAAGTGCAAATATAATAACTTATACATGAGCGATCTGACATTATCATGTGCTACACCTTGACAGCACGATTCTTTCTTGAAAGCTGAATGTCATCACTTTATAGGGTGTCGTGATTTGTAGAGGGGAAGTGGTGCAGGTGCGTTGTTATCATTGTAAATATGCTTTTCATATCTCAACACCAAAAGATTCGGTTAAAAGTTTGTGCTTGTGTGTGTGTGCCGTGTTCTCTCGCTGCTCGTTTCTGAAGTTTGCGCTCTAGTATGTAGCAAAGATGGATCACCAACTGGCCCTAACGTGCTCAGTGGCCCGTCTCGTAGGGTTTCGAACGGATACGCACGGCCACAAGACACGGCGTTCAGTCCAGAGTGTCCATGTTCGGAGTGCGTTCGTGTGTCTCATCACTGTTCAAAGTCGTGCTCCTTGACGAGTGTGTTCCATTTACCGACAGAAGGGATCTGTGCCGTAGAGGTTGGAAAGGGGTCATCGCTTGCTTTGCATTAGGCCGGGCTCTTCACGCCAGATATGTATACCCGTATCATCGAAAGAGGCATAAGAAAGAAAAAAAAAAGCGTTTTTGATGCCATATAAATTATGTTGTGTGCGTGACTTCACCCGACTAGTAATAGGTCCATTACGTTCTTCCAACGTTACTGCAACATTCTACCTTACGAGGTCGTATAATTTCACGTGCAGTTCGGATGTAAGCATAACGCGTTTTGGGCGAAACTCGTGTTCATTCCGTACGAATGACAAGGTAAACACTAAAAAAAATTTACGGTAATATTATACGTAATTATAGAGTGTAGATATACTTTCGTCTGTGTGTGTAAATTGGGACACTTAGTTGTGAGCCTACATCCGTGCGCAACGAATAAATGGGAGGTTAATGTTACTGTTATTATTATTTTGTTGCTATTATGAGCGCTAAACCTGGTTGCTAGCGTTTGTGACAAAATGCACACGCGCACGACAGGATTGTTAAACTGAAAATTACAACAACGAAAAAACTGCGTGTTTGGCGCGGTTCAGATAAAACCCGGGATATTCATGTATAAGTAATAACGAATGCAGGCGCAGGTATAAGATGGAACGAGACATTCATTCGACGTTTCGACCGAGGAATGGTCTTGCTGGAGAAGACTGGTGGACCCCGGTCGAAACTTTGAGCAGATGTCTTGCTTGTTGTTGTACGCACTGACACTTATTGCTTCTTGTTCCAAGGAAAGAGCACATGTACTATATCATAATTTTACCGCAGTAAAGAGAACCCATAGGCTTTACATGATTCCTTGGTATCGCGTCCACGAACTTCGGAGTACAATGCTCAGACATGGAAGGACTGTGCTTTCGCTTACAGATCATCGGAAGCCCTGAACGGCACAGCCGAGGAACTCCAGACTCTCAGAAATGAAGGTCCTGACGTCATCATACTACCGGCGAAGCCTTACGGACCGCAAAAACGGTACATGTGCATACGCAACATTTTAAAGAAAAATAATTATGCAAATATACCTGCGAGTAGGAAAGTGGGGGAATTTTGCGATTACGTACGGTATAGCCGATAAAAGGGCTCGCTTGTTTTTGCAAGCTATATGTCAGCTACAAGTGATTCACGTTTGCATGGAAGTGCAAGCTGAGATAAAATAAACATTTTTCGTATCAGCGTAACATGCCCTGAAATGTAGTAATGTGATCATGTTAAGAAAAGGAGTCCTAAATTTTGAATCAATCAATCAATCAGTTACTTTCTCCCGCGGAACTTATAAAGGTATAGCGCATATTGGAAAAGTATTGGCCCAGTTGACAAATATTGTCTTTTTTTATGCAAAGCATTTCTGTGCGTATTGGAAGCACGTTTAGCATATATATATATATATATATATATATATATATATATATATGACGCTATGATGAATGGGAGACGTGGCCTGGCTCATACCCCATGTTTATTCTGTTCTGACTTCTTCCTCTTCAGCTTCTACCAACCATCGCTTCATACGTCACACGATTCCCCCTCCCCCCGAAAGAAGGCATGGATTACGAGCAAGAAAAAGTAAACAAGGAGAGGTTAAAAAGTCACAAATGTCGAAATTCACAATTGGTTCTCTGATCCAGGGGAGTTCCGTAAACTTTCCAAGACTTCAGGGGAGAGTGCAGCAGTCCGGTTAACGCAGGAGTTCTGGTGGGCGAGGCTGGTGGTTGCGTCCAGGATAACACAAAAATGCTTTGGACGTGGAGATAGGGGTAACAGCTGGCATTATTGTGAAGAATGAACGAGGTTCGAACATCTTGCAGAATCGACAGTTCCGATATTGTAGGCATCGAATGCCTCGTCGTGGTTGATACACAGGCCGTGCAGGCAGCTCGCGTGCAGGTTGATCGAGGTTGATTGGGCGCTGCCTGTGTTCCTGCTGATTGGAGATTTTTCTACAGCAATGTCGCAGATGTTCTGATCGAAGGCGCATTTTCAATCTCTGGTGGATAATGTATCCAGGACGATGGGCCTTTTCGCAATGTTCTTCGAGCCTTAAGAGTTGTTTCGATGAAGTTTTCTTTCGTCGTTGACAGTGTTGAGGTATACGTTGACGTTGTCGTTTCTTGGTTTCGTCGACTTGCTTGTGGCGTGACATTGATCGTGGTGTGCCCGGATTTTTAGCAAGCCCTTCGCAGGCTTCTACGACGCCAACCAATGCAGCTGTTTTTGGCGCAAGACAATGTGGGGTGTTTCGCGCACTTGAATCTTCTGTATTCATAAACCGCTCATTGTTGGTCGTTGCCTGAAGAGTACTTGTGTCATCCGAAGTAGCACCTGGGCTTTTGTTTTCAGTGTTGGCAGTGAGGTCGCGCACTGGATTGACGTCGCTTCGATCTTGGGATTGGTGAACACTAGACGCTTCTGCAAAAGACTTTTCTTCACAAGATGCTGATTGTGAATGCTTCTGTCTTCGTGGAACTGCTGAGCTGAATACCAAGTCAGTTTGAAAACTACGCATGTGGCACGAAGTATTCAATGCATCTGAGTCATCAATAGTGGATTCAATTCTTTTATGCAGCGGAGAGTTAAGCATTGGCGATATTTGCGCGGATGAGGAACCAGGTGGAAGGTTGGGAAAACGACAGCGTGGTCTTTCCATGAGCATGTGGCTAACTTCACCTGACGGGAATTGTAAATTCATGCTCTGTGCTCGAATGCACGCGTGAAGGCTGCTTATGGCTGCGATGATTGAGTTCGAATGCACTGAGAGTGTGTGTTTTAATCGAATCTTCATAAGAGTCTTGAAACCAGACGATCATTTCTTCTTTTATCTTTTGCCAAGACTCGTCGTTGTTGAATATGTGGGTGAGGTAAAATTTAAATGCCTCACCGGTGACGTAGTCGCTGAAGTTCGTAACCATCTCCCGTTCCGACCAAGATGCAGCGGTAGCGTGGAACTCGAACAGGTCGAACCAGTCCTGTACAGGTCCATCGTCCGCTGCTCCGGTGTACTTGGGGATGGGAAGGTCGGTCGATGATTCTGTCATGGTGCTGGTCGCTGTGTGCGGCTAGGAGATGATTCCGTAGTCGATGTATGGTCAGGGCGTCTTGTGGAGAACTGCGTCGATGATGAGACACTGATGAAGTGGCTGGGAGGTCTTCATCCTGTCGACTCGTGTGACGCTATGATGAATGGGAGACGTGGCCTGGCTCATACCCCATGTTTATTCTGTTCTGACTTCTTCCTCTTCAGCTTCTACCAACCATCGCTTCATACGTCACACACACACACACACACACACACATATATATATATATATATATATATATATATATATATATATATATATATATATATATATATATATATATATATATATATATATATATATATATATATAGGGGAGGGAAAGTTGGTTTTACGAATATGACGCGCTGTCAAGACATGAATAATGTCACTATCTCGTCGCGTACTTCGTCAAACGCTTTGCGCCACACAGTGGCACATAATAAAATGCGTTGCTGGGTGAATTTGTGCACGTCTAAACATAAAAGTCGTAACAGTCATGCAAAAAATACAAAAAATGACAAGGCACAGGAAACAAGTAGACAGAACATAACGCTCAAAGTGATTTAATTACGAAATAATTGTAGGAAAAAAATACAGATCGTATGTCATAACCGCCGCTCCGCACATCAGAAAGCTGCTCATACAAAAAACTATATCATCGTCATCATTATCATCATCATCATCATCATCATGTCTTACTACGTCCACTGCAGGACAAAGGCCTCTCCCATGTTCCGCCAGTTAACTCGGTCCTGTGCTTGATGCTGCCAATTTATACCCGCAGACTTCCTAATCTCATCTGCCCACCTAACCTTCTGTCTCCCCTTAACCCGCTTGCCTTTTCTGGGAATCCGGTCAGTTATCCTTAATGACCAGCATTTATCCTGCCTACGCACTACATGCCCGGACAAGCGGATTTTCAAAAAAAAAAAAAAATGATCCGCGCGATGATGGAATTGCATTAGGATGCCTGGGTGCGGCCTCACCGGTGACACACTCTCTCACCAGAGAAGAATTGGCCGCCCTGGTGCAGTATCTGACCACTACCTACCACATGCATACGTCAATTAGCATATTACGCCAGAATAATTGAAATTCGGACTCCCGCAAACACGCTCACGTCTGGGTGGCACAGTCCTGACCCTTCAATTTTACGTGAAACGCCTCTGACGGTTCCCGTGCAACCGTTTCCCTGCTGCGTCCGAGCACCTTCACTGTATATTTGCAAAACCAAAAAGAGAAGAAAAGACAAGTTCTGGGATCTTATCTGCCCAAGCCATGATATGATTATGAAGGATGCCGCGTTTAGCGTACTGCGTATCAATTTCCTATTAACGGAGCCACTTTCCGTCGAAATGCAGTCGCCGTGTCTACGGTGTCTCTCATAATCATACGGTGGTTTTGGGACGTTAAACTCCACATATCAATCAATCAATCAATCAATCAATCAATCAATCAATCAATCAATCAATCAATCAATCAATCAATCAATCAATCAATCAATCAATCAGTGGTCGCCGTGACGGGAATTCCACCCGCGTCCTTCAGCTTCGCCGCGAATGATCTTATTCGCTGTGACTGTACCTTGAAGGGTGACATCGAAATAAAAAAAAACCAAATCAGGGGAGGGGGATCTGCAGACACAGTCACACGAAGTAACGAAAAAAAAAAGGAAGACGCCATGTTTCTTAATTCACGCAGTTTAGCGTGCGTTTTGTGTGCTAATTTGTTTCGTGTTATGCCTGATTTTCAAGCAAATTCTGTACCCCCCCCCCCCCTGCAATGTCTCGCTAATGAGACGGCAGTATATGTAAATAAAAAAAAATCGCTGATGACCATAAACAGAGACGTCGACAGTTGTTCAAAAAAAAAAAAGCAATCCAAAGCTTATCCTTTATCTCGTTTTTATCATACGTATCTGCGGACGCTCGAAACATGTCCATTGAGCCTTTTGACGCCGGCTACGTGATATTGAGACGTCCTCAGTAAACGGCCGCAGGCTGTTGGATAGGTAATCAGCCTGACGCTATCGCTTATGAAGTTGCACGGGGTCGCTGCAACAGTTACGGCTGCTCTGCAGCGTTGAGAGGGACTGCAGTAACTTCCGTCGGTCGAGGGTCCGGTAAGTGTTGATTTATTTCTCATACTCAAAAGCAAAAGAGAAAAACCCCACAGGGTCTTTTACGTTAGCTCTGAACACCACTTGGATGACGATTATGATCATTACGATGACGATGATGATGATAGCCTACACGTCTTGTAAGCGGAAGAAGCCGTCCTATTTAGCTTCTCAATAAATCCACTGATCCACCGCCTTCCCCCTTTTCCCACCGAAAGCTTTCGATCATCGCTTGTTCTGGCACTGCTTTCCGCGTGGTCCGCCACCATCGACCAATCGACGACGTCACGCGATGAAGTGACGTGTACCGTCACGTCAATGTCACCGACTATGGCGAACAGCTGTGACGTCGTGATGACTGTCATGTGGCGACGTCGTCAAGTGATGATGACCTTATTGCAGACCTCGTGCTGTAGCCGACGCTGCGGGGGGGGGGGGGGGGCTCCGACGGTCAGCTTCGCATTTGATGAGTCATCTGAGCATTTCGCCTTGACACCCCTATACGACCGTCGTGATGGCTTAGGCTGCAGTGGCATTGCGTCGATCTAAGCAAGGGGACAGGGGATCGACTCACGGTCACGAAGACTTCATTTAGAAGCGGCTGAAACGCGAAAGCAGCCTCGTGTTTATATTAATGTACAGGTAAAAAAAATTGAGGTAATCGAAGTTAATCCAGTGTCTCTCAATTTACGGCGTGCCTGGTGATCACACTGAGCATTTCGGCAAGCGAAACGTCGTCATTTTAGTTCTAGTTAACCAGCCGGAATTTTAATTCACTAAAGAGGGTAATGTTGCCGT